GACGGCAGAGAGCCGGGCGTCTGAGACGGAGACCAGGAGCTCACGGGTGTAAGGTGCCATCTAGCCCAGGCTGCCACTCCTTCCCAGTACGACTGCCATCCCCACCGCAGCAGCCCCTGGGACGGGAGTGCTGTCATCTCTGATCTCTGAATGAACAAGCAAACTCAGTCTGCAGCTAAACAGCCCAGGCCTGGTGGAGGATGCAGTGGCCTCAGACGCCCGGGCTGCGCGGGAGCCGGTTCCAGCTGCGTCCCGAGTCCGATCCCGTTCCCGTTCCCGGCAGCACCCCCACGAATGACTCTGTCTACCCACCCACGCTCTGCCCCTCCGATCACCCAGACAAGGAAGATAAAGTGTGGCCGTGTGACGTCACCGCCACGCTGCTGCCCTCTGCCTTTATTGAAAAACCAACTGCAGAGTGCGGTTAACCCCAGCAGCAGGACGCGTGCCTGCGGGTGGGGATGATGGACAGTAATCGTGTGTCCTTCCCTAATGAACTGCCCACACGCGTGGCCATGGGGCGGCTCCTTAGTTTTAATTGGATTTCTCGGCCCATTTCTCCTGAGACTCATCAGACGCGCCTGTCCCCCGGAGTCCCAGATGGGCTGCTCAAGCCTGTGATCTGCTGAAGAGCACAGATTAAAGAAGTTGCGCAGCCATGGTCTATGTCAGAAGACACTAATTGGCAGCCGAGAGGGAAAATCGCTTTTTGTTTCAGCGGCTTGGAGTTCAAGAAAACATTCAGCTCTTTCCCGATTGATCCTATGCAAATTCAACTTTCCAGCACAGCGTCTGTCTATAAAGGACACTGAGAGGTGTGAAGTGCTTGTTCATGAATAGTGTCCTTTCCTCCCTGGTGTTCTATTTTTTTTTATTTTATTTTTTTTTTTTTTTGGTACCGGGGATCGAACTTGGGACCTTGCGCTTGCGAGGCAGGCGGTGGAGCCACTGAGCTGCATCCCCGGCCCTCTGGCGTTCTTGACCTCTGCACCCTGGGACCGGCGGCCCATCTGTCTCCACTCTCCCTCCACTAACCCAAATTTCATCCCCGGCAGGGACAGCTTTAAATCACAGATCTGCACGCGGCCACATCAGACCACTGATTCTCCTTCCCCATTCACTCCCCTAAGCTCTAGTCTCTGCCGGCACCGCCCCAACCCACTCTGGTGTTCTTCTTACGCTGCTCCCTTGCCCTGGCTAGCCTCCGTGCCCTTGAGCACAGAATTCGTCTCCACTCTTACATCACTTCCCAATCACTCATTCATCCAGCAACATCTACCACACGGCACCAGCCAAGAGGCTGGCATGATGTGCTGTAGACAAGGGAGCAGAGAGCAAAGGAAAGCAGATGCTGCCCCAAGGAGCACAACCGCAGAGCGGAAAAGCGAAGAAGGAGGAAGCTGACAGTGCCGTCGGTGGGCGGAAGTAAACAGGAAGTGGAGAGAGAAACGCCCCCCCCCATGCCGCAGGAAACAGACACTGGGTCTCATTTCCCCTCCCCTCTGGGGCTGCCGGGGACGGGCCCTGTGGAAGGGGAGGCGGCAGGTCACACCAGACACCCTGTGGGCCACCTGCTGGCGGCAGCCGTGCAGCAGGAAGGGGAAAGGCTCCTTGATTATTTCTCTCCTGCTGGGAGCCACGCCCGCTGAGCAAACCGCCAGCCCTGTGTGTGGGAGTTGGTCACCGCAGCTGGGAGCAGCCTGGGCCTGACCCCGCACACAGCGCCTCTCTTCTGGGTCAGAAGACCCGACCCTGGTGGGTCTCTCCCACCCAGGCACAGGAAGGAGGAGCTTGGGCACCGCCTGCAGTCTGTTTCCGGCCCCACAGACCGTCCACAACTCTGAATCCAGGGTGAAGGAGGGGTGGAGGAGACAAGCACGTGAAGCCTCTCTGAGTAAGTGTCCAGAAAAATAAAGGCCCTAAGGGAGAGGACGGAAACAAGGGCTCCTCTCGCCAGGGGCCCCTACAGGAAGAGCCTGTTTACAGCTACAGTTTTCATTTTAGTTTTCTCAGGGCCGAGTGGAACCTAAGGCCTGGTGGGTGTGCGGCAAGCACCCCGCCACTGAGCTACACCCCAGCCAAGATTTTGAAACACTGTTTCAGGATGCACCGGGCACCTCCCACCAGAGCCCGCAACTGGAGTTTTAAAGGGGAGCTATCCGAGAACTTTGAGTAAAACTGCTGCGTACAGCCTCGATGCAGAGTTTGCCTCCCCACAAATGATCGGGGGGGAAAAATTGGGTTTGTTTTTTTAAAGCTTAGCTATTAGGACATTGAATGTTTCTAACACAAATGTTTGAGGTGACAGTCGCTGATTACGCTGATCTGGTCATGACACACTGTATGTGTGTGTTGGAATGTCACACTGTACCTCATCAATATTTTAACTGTGTGTCAATTAAAAGTTCTAATTAAATTAAAATAATACCAACAAAGGAAAAGGAAAGAAAGCAGTTGGCCAGCAGCAGCCCAACAAGATGGCAGCTGGCCACCCATAATGGATGCTTCCACCACCGTGTGCCATGTGCCTCCTGTCCCAGAAGGGGATGCCAAACCCTCAGAAGCTCCAACACCCCAGCTTGGGGACAGCACCATGGAGTGAGCTGGCATTCCGTGACCCGGGGAGAGACCGAGTGGACACTGTCCTCACAGCCACCCTCTCAGGGGTCCCAGCCTTGCTATTTTCTTTTTCTTTTTCTTTTTTTTTTTTAGGTACTGGGGATCGAACTCGGGTCCTTGCACTTGCACAGCAGGCGGCGAAACCACTGAGCTAAGTCCCCGGCCCTAGCCTTGCCATTTTCTAAGACTCTGTCCTAATTTGAGATGCCACCCTGTCCCTGTCCAGCCCTTGTCCTTGTCCAGGCTCCAGAAGAGCCAGGAACTGAGCCCCTGGGCCTTGCTGCAAGGCGTCCACCAAGTTGGCTGCAGGACCAACTGGGAGCAACAAAATGGGTCCTGACAATGACCCACTCCACACTATCGACCCGAAGGCTGGCTTTATCCCATTTCCATGTGTGACTGTTGTTCTCATGCCTTCTGATAGATCCTTTGAGAGACAGAGTCCACTTTCTAGGGATAAACTGCATATCCACTCTGCTCAAAGTCAAATGTGAGCCCTGGATTCAATTAAGTAAACATGGATGTTGTGGCAACTGTCAAAGATGCTAGGTACATAGAGATGGTCCCTGCCCCCTGCCCGGGAGGACTCACAGTCCAGCAGGGTGACGGGAGGGACCATTCTGAGTCGTTATATATTTGTTGGAGTCCAAGGTTTGCAGACAGCATAGTGGGTGGTAATGGAGACAGTGCTGGAGGGACAGGCTGGACTTGGCCCTGACTCTGTGGCTCTGTGACCCTGGTTGCTTGATTGGTCCCCTTGAAGACGGGGGACAGAGAGGTATGTAATGATCACAGGAGAGCTTTATCTCTGCTGAACCCTCCATGCTTCCTGCAGAGGATTGCAATTTGGATAGAATGCAAGCGGCTCATCGTTCCTACTGTGTGGCAGCCCTCAATGGTTTTCTCCAATACCACAGCCAGGTCTGCAGGAAGCTGCGCCATAGCCTGCCCTCCTCTACCACTCCTGCTTTTCCTGTCTGCCTCCTTCAGGCGTCCAGAGAGACTGACCTCTGCTCTGGACCTTGACCCTGCCCTGCCACCCCCAGGGCCTCTGTCTTCCCATCCTCCACCCTGCACGGTGTTCCCTGGGTCTTCATGAGCCACATGTCACCACTGTCACCTCCCCAGGGAACTTCCCTCTGGCCACTGCTGAGCCGCGTCACTGCGAGCATCTGCTCCAGCACAACCATCCCTGGAGTAGCCCCCACCGCTCCATAGTCACTGGGCGCCGACAGAATGAATGCACGCAGCCTAGCAATGTCCTGCTCTGGCCTATGTTCTCCCAGTGCTCAGGACATGCATCCCAGGGAGACACACCCCTGTCGTGTCTGGGGTAAGGCCACAGTGCAGGTCTGACTGGCAGAACCTCAGAGGTTCCCAGCCAGGAGCGCATCTGGAGTCGTGTGCAGGTAGCCTGGTTGCTATGGTGATTAGGACACACAGGGCCATCTCTCGAAATGAGAATCATCCCACCCCAGTGTCAGTGATGCTGCTGAGTAACTCTGAGCTGCGAGCCACTCAGAATTGGGGGCCACCGTGCACCCAAGAGAAGTTAAGGAGAACAAAAGAGAGCCAGTGGAAATGGGCTCCTGTGCTCTCGCAAGCAAGGAGTAGCAGGCAGAGGCCCGAGCTGGGACTCTGCTCCCTGGCAGCTGGGTGACCTCGGGCAGGACAAGCTGGGCATCAGTTTTCTCAGCTAGGGATTTGACTGCCAGTGCCTGCCTGGCTCGGTTATTCTGAAGATTCAACTGGAGACACTCCTAACACAATAAGGAGATGGTCCCCGATTTCCCGTGCTTTGATGTATGTTTCGATTTTACAGTATTTGAAAATGACGTCCGTTCAGTAGAGTACTTTGACTTTTGAATTTTTGTCCCTTCCCGGGCTGGTGGGACATGGTGTCTCTGCAGATGCTTGACTCCGGGCTAAGGTGAGAGCAACCCAGTTAGGGTGGGTGAGGCTGAGCTCTGATGTTCAGTAGATTAGGAGTTTCAAATACAGTTTTGACTTACGACGCTTTCAACTTAGAATTGGTTTCATTGAGTTTCATTACAAACCCACTGTCCATCGAAGAGCGTCCGTATCCAGTTGCCCTCACACATCAGATCTGTCCACACAGCACTCGCTCTATGCGGTCGCAGCCCGACAGATTCAGAGATCCTAGAGGAGGACAAGCGTCTGCTTTGGATGGACCGGGTCACAGGGACGCTTCTGCCACATGAGCGCTTCGGGCTAAGCGAAATCGAACTCTCCCACCACTCCCGAAACACTCACACAGGCAGGCCTGGGCTTGCCGAGAGAGGACCCACAGCGGGCTCCTGGGGAAGATTCGAGGGCGCAGTGTGGGCTCAGGCTGGCTGACTCTGCCCTGCCTCCCACAGGTGGCATCCCCTTCATCCTGACTGGAGAGTTCTTCCAGCAGTCACAGCGGCCCGCTGCCTTCATCATCGCGGGCACCGTCAACTGGCTCTCTAACTTCGCCCTGGGGCTCCTCTTCCCGTTCATCCAGGTAGGACTGGTGGGGGCTCTGCCGTGGGACACCTTGGAGAGCACGGGGCAGAGGTGATCTCTCTCTCTCCCCCTCTCTCTCCCCCTCTCTCTCCCTCTCTCTCTCCCTCTCTCTC